GTCATGTGGCTAGCTCCTGTACCAATTGCAATTTGCAACATTGTTTCTCCCTATCCTTGGCGCGTAGGTGGCGGGTACCGACCGTCAAGTTGACTATTGAAGGTGTGTCGGTCCGGGCCTTAATAGACACGGGAGCTGGAGTATCCATTACGGAGTGTTCGAAGGGGTTCCACTAACCCAGTTCTGGATCGGGATGTAGACCGTCAGTGGACATCGTTTGACGGTGACGGGCACCCAGTGGTTGGGAATCAGAATAGGGAAAACGCTCAGCAACCATGCTATGTTCAACGTGGAGCAGACCACCGAAAGAATCGTTGGCACCGACATCCTCAAACGGCTCGGTGCTAAGATTGATCTGAGAAACGATTGGGTAATCGTAGGCAAAGTGATTACTGCGATGAACACTAAAAGAGCCGATCGAATAGGTCTCGTCAGGCTCCTGCCTGACTTAAAACAGTCTGAAATACGGAGTGTACTGAGCAAGTATGCCTACCTATTTAGGGGAACAGCTGCTGCTTGTGACCCTGCAGCTGGGTAAAACATCGAATACCATTAATCCCTGGAGGGCAGTGCAAGCCGATCTTTGGTAGAATAATGCAGAATACGCTGACGGAGATAAAAAACAGGTAGTAGAGATGGAAACGAAAGGAACCATCTGGCGAACACACAGTAAGCATTCATCACCCGTGCTACTGACGATAAGGGCCAAAGGTACTCATGGATTTTGCATTGATTTCAGAGAATTGAACAGTGACAGTGCACGATACGTTTCCGATGCCGCAGACGGAAGAAATTTGCTCCGGGCTAAACAGCGTCAAGCGGATGTTCTTGATAGACCTCCGATCGGGATACTGGCAGCTGCCCATCGCAGAGGATGCTCGCCAGAAGACAGCTTTCAGTGTGAATGGCCAGCAGTACGAATTTCTAAAAATGCCGTTTGCATTATATAACGCCCCAGTTACATTCACACGCCTATTGTTGATGGTCTGAAAGAACCTACAAGGTGTGGTTGTCTACTAGGTTAACATCATCTTTTTCTCCGAGACAGAGCACGAACATCGTATCAGGTTTGCAGCAGCACTATAAGGATTGGAAGAAGCTTGTCTGAAACGGTCGCTAGAAGTCACAGATTGCTGGTGTCGGATGGCACCAGCGTGTCCGCAACGATGATGTGCGTATGCGAGTACAAGGTGGTGATAACCATGCTAGCTCCCTAGAACAACAGATAGCACTGAATAAGTTGCGTTGGCTCGGACACCTTCTCCGTTTGCCTGGTCACCGCTTACCTAGGAGGGCCTTTATTACTAATCCATGTATAGGTTGACGTAAGGCTCGAGGTGGACAGAAGTTGACTTGGCAGTGGGAAATGAAGTCACTGATGACCAACCTGGGTGCTGTTGGTCCGTCTCGCATTCCGGGCTGGAGTCCCCGTGACTCGGCTTGTGCTTGGCTCGAGACTTTACAGGCATGGCTTACAACCGAGACCAGTGGCGCGTCTGCTGCCGTCTCCTAATTGGATTGCCTTTTTAAAGTGTGTTTGGTGCTGAGTTATCTGCGGGGTAATGGCTGATTATGACGCGTGGAAGTGAAAGCCGCAAGGAAGCTGTCTCGCCGATGCCGCCTTATCTTTGCACGATAGCCAGCTGTTTGTGACGGTATGTTGTCTACACAAGGTGTAGGCGAATGACCCTGAATGTTTGTTTGGGGCATTAAGGCTTTCAGGTAAGTCTCCCTTCTCTCCCTCTTCTTGTTCTTTATTTCATCATCATCATCATCATCATCATCATCATCATCATCATCATCATCATCATCATCAGCAGCAGCAGCAGCAGCAGCAGCAGCAGCAGCATCAGCAGCAGCAGCAGCAGCAGCAGCAACAGCAGCAGCAGCAGCAGTACATCAGCCATTTGAACTGATGCTTCGCTGCCGTACAACCCTAAGGACCTATGAAATAAAGAACAAGAAGAGGGAGAGAAGGGGGACTTACCTGAAAACCTTAATGCCCCAAGCAAACATTCAGGGTCAAGGCGCCTACACCTTGTGTAGACAACCTACCGTCACAAACAGCTGGCTATCATGCAAAGATAAGGCGGCATCGGCGAGACAGCTTCCTTGCGGCTTTCACTGCCACGCGTCATAATCAGAAATTACCCCGGCAAAAGTAGTTGCCACTATCCACAGTGCCAAGTGGCCTATCAACGGACGTTATGTTCGTAGGCTGGTGAGGAAAGTTAAGAAAAATAGGAGCTTGTGCGACGCCGAAAAGACAGGGCGGCCTCGCATCACCACGGATGATTGTTCTACTTGTGTGGTTATTCGTGAGATGTCCAGAAGCTGCGATCTGAGCATTCGTAAACTTGCCCAGCATCGCGACACCACCAAATATGTTATCCATAGGATTTTGAAGGAAAGGAAATTCCGGAAGTAAAGCGCAAGTCAAGTGCAGGTTTTAAACCAATGTGATTTGGGGAAGCGGCGGTTTTCATTGCCATGAACATCCATATAACTCTTTTTACCGATAAGGCTGTTTTTCCTTTGCACAGTGCGGAGAAGCGACAGTTTTGGGCAACGTGTAATCCACGCCGATGCAGCGCTTCACGTATACAACAAGGCGCAAAGCTCAAGGTATGGGCTGTGTTAATTGGCCAAAGAATCGTGGGACCAGTTTGCTTTCCAGTAATGTAACCGGTAGGTTATTGTTTCGCAGTATTAATGCCTTTGGCTTTCTAGCAACCTCGTACAAGGAATTACTGCAAAATTGTATCATTCCGGAACAGGAAGCCGCTGGGTTACTAAGTACCGTTTGGTTTCAACAAGATGGCGCACCTGCACACTATGCGCAAACTGTGCGAGATTTTCTCAAGCAGACTCCCTTGCCGTTGGATCGGGCGGGGAGGACCTATAGAGTGGTCTGCTCGGTCACCAGATTTGAACCCATTAAATTTTTTCCTCTGTGTTTACTTGAAACAACGGATTTACAAAAAGAAGTCAAACTCTCTTGAACAATTGTTGCAGAGCATTTTGCACGTATGTCGCGGGTTCACAGTTGGTACTTTGGAGAAAGTGTTGGCAAACACCATCAGGCAAATGCTGCACTGTAAACAAAACGCCGGCGGATGCTTTGAACATCAACTTCGCTGACAAATCTGAGCATTACATTGATGATCTGTAAATATATGTATCATGAAATGATTTATCGACGGAAATCGTGCGCTGGCTAATGCTCTGTTTTTCTTAGGAACGTCAGTTGATGGTTTCTCCTAGGGTTTTGCGTGCGTGTCTTGTTCTAAATAGCTCGGGATATCGGTTCTCCAGTAGGTCGCCCCCAACTTGAAACTTGTCCCTACGGTTCAGTTTCTCTATTCCACCAAATCCATGTGGTAGGATAGCAGTCGAGGCTCAGTTTGTACATTTGAACGAATATCTTCCCAGTCGAACACTGAGCAATGAGGAGACAAGCGGTTGTTTAAAACTACCAAGGTAGTCCTTACCAGTCATGCGCTAGTGACACCGAGAAGTGACGTACCATGACGAAGGGTCATTGTGAGTCCTTAACATAATTGCTGCGCAATGAAAAGGTTGTAATACTGAGACAAGATATGGGATTAGGTGTCGTCATAATACAGAAACAGGGCTACATGCAGAAGATGCAAAAAATTTCTCACAGACTCTAGTCGATTCGTTCTTTATGTGACAGACAGCGATGAAAACGAACAGGTTATGAAATTAAACATTCGTGAACTAAAAAACCCTAAAAACGGTGGGATGGAATCACGCAAGAACTTTGACACAACCGATCACTGAAGCATCTCGGCTTCCTTATTTGTAAGGACTGCCGCAAAGCAGTGTTTCAACTGCATTCCTTTGACTACCTCATGTTTCATTCTGGCCTTGTACCACTTTATCGGACGCCGTCATGCCATTGGTCCAGTTCACACTGACTATGGGCAACTCAACCCTGCGCTTTGTTCTAATGCAGTTTGTGAATCGCAAGTAGCTCTTGCACACTGTTTTCATTCATATGATGGGAAACAGTTCCCACACTTTGCGGATCGTAGCTGACCTTCCACATTCATCATAAGTGAACGATGTTAAACAATGCACTATCGGCCGCGTTCCGTTGCCTGGCCTACGATCACCCCATGCTCACTGCGATCAGGCCTGCGTATTTCAGTGGTCAGGCCATGTGTCAACGCGTCCTATTGCTCAACCATTGTCTCATGCTAAGTATGTCCATTCGGCTGTGCATGTGCTCCCTGATCGCCATATCGAATTCGCCTGCGTTGGTGCGACATAACTGTCCACGACCAACTGGACGTGGCAAGTTACGGACTTCGGTATCCGGTGGCAACATTGTCACCACACCCGGAGACTTTGACGTAACACATTTCTACAGGCACTTTGAACGGGTTTCTAATCGACCGTAGACTTCACAAGCGACTATCCAACACAGAAAACAGTAAGAACAACGACAAGTCTTTCACCCTAGACACTTTTACTATCCAGGCCAAGGCGATTATCGCGCACTCCAGTTTTTTTTAGATACGGCGATTGTAGAGGGATTTGCGTGAGCAAATCCTGGGAGCAAAGCAAGTGAATTGGCACCATGTACATTTGCCAAAGGAACATGTTGAAAGTAAAGTTGGTGGAAGCGGTGGCCGAAGGGGAAATGAATGTTTCTTTGATAAAAACTGCAATCCTCATGTGGCGGAATTTTACCTGGAAACATGAATGTTCAGTTTGGTAGAAAGACAATGTTTTATGTCGTGGAGGTGGGCCGGAAACCGGCGCAAAAGCTGCTCAAACATGTGCACTCGTCTACTGCGTGTCTCGGCGACTTACGTAGCTTCAAGCTTGCCGTCTCATGGGGTGATTGTTTCCCATAACTGCGGTGAAGAAACACGATGTTTGCAACAGCAACCTCATCATGAGGCAACATACTTTACATAGTTGCTGTGTAGCCCACCTCATTTTCCCTCCAGCTCACCGATGTGACATCCCTTACGTGTTTCTCTCAGGTCACTCCAAGCGCGCGATCTCACTTTCACAAGCTGCCTGCAAATTCAAAGGACAGATGTGTTTCGCGGACGAGTGGGACATGATTCTCTTCTTGGGTACCCCAGTGTACGTTGCACATTGATTGCTATCCCGTAGACAGCATTTTCTCACATGAAATAATATACCATTGTTTCAGAATCGGTTTGTTAGTTACTGTAATGCCTTCGTGTAGTGACAGCCTAGTAAGAGAAACAAGCACTCCCTAGTTGCTATGTTGAATGAAAGTGAGTACCTTCAATAGATGTTTTAAACCCACGTAGGACTTGGCTTTGAGAGTTGTTAACAGTGAACTGTTTCTGAATTACCCACAGAATTGCCGATTCGAATGTAGCCGGTTCATCGGTTTTTTAAATTTAACTACCAGCAAGATTGCACGTATTCACAGTACTCTCATGGAAACAGACTGCACCTTCAGTTGGCAGCCTCGATTGATTCAGATCCATAGATACCACTACGTATAATCTCCTCCTATGACACAGTAGCCAGACGCACTTCCTTTGCTTCTTTTAACTGTTCAATTCCTCTTTCTTGATGCAGATACTGTTTGCTCGCATTTAACAACACGACATTTGGGAATTTGCATCCCTACTCGTGCTAGATTCTTTCATTGTTTCATGGTTCAATAGTTAGCTTTTATCTTCTAACTCATGTCCTATGAAATAGTCTCACTTGCGTATCACACAGGCTCCGGAGGCACCTTTATAGCCAGGCTTTGGAGACGAAATTCACAGGTTTTGGTAACTTACGATGATTAATCGCACACCACTTACATGAGACGATACGCAGCAGTTGAACTCAGCAGATCGATCGACCAAACCCTGAGTTGTAACTAGTCGCGGATAACTAGACACATAAGCTACCCATCGAAAGAAAAGATGCAACTACTGCAATTCCATTGATTATTCCAAGTTAACTAAAGCACATCCACTACGTCTGCTTCAAAGACTATCAGGGACACAAACCAAACACTGAGAAATAGCCTCATGGGGAATTCGTCTTTTCTCAAGTGTAGTCGGTATTTAGGTATAATGTAGAGATGTTTCATCACATTCACTTCTCAGCCAAACAGGCTCACTTTCGTTTGGAAAAACACCAGACTGCCGTTTTAATCATCTGGTTCTCGGCAGTAAGGCGCGTTTTTTGGACCCCTGCTCGTGACATTAAGCCATGTTCATCCATGGCTTAGCGGTACAAGCTTCTGGTATTCGGAAGCCATGGGGTCGGAACCCGGCAGAGGTCCGAGGGACTCACAATACTGGCAAAAACCAGAAGGTAGAAACGACCATCTGGTGCTTATCCAGATGTGCGGAAGCCTGCTTCGATGATAAGTGACTGCGAGGATCTACACCCAAATTTGTCTTTTTTATCAATACCAAAAGGAACGGATTAAATAATTAATCAAAACTGTTGGCTTAACACATCACTAGCCCTTTCTAAAATTCGCCTGTCTTCCTTCAGACTGAGGAACATGCAACAGCTGGAGGACTGCGGGCTGTATGTCAGCGATCTGAACATGTTCGATCGGAGCACAGACATTGTTCTCGCCGGCGAGCAGCAGTCAGAGGAACTGATGAACTTGTTCAAAAAGGTATGTGCACTATCAAAGCATTTTGTTGATCTGGAGGAACTATGCATGTTGGCTGCCGGGACAGCCGACTATTATAACATTGGTGCGAAGACAATTTATTCTTGATTAAACCTACTTGGGTAGATTAATTACGAAAGCATGTCCAGTATGAATTACGTAAAACGTAGCATGGTAATGTTCTCCAAGTCACCCTCACTATGTTTCAGAGTTTGCCAAAATTCTAAGCGAAGTTATGCTACTTTCTCACCCCTATTATCCGCAGTTTGCAGTTGACAAGCAGTGCTTGATATCGCTTACTGGCCGGCTTTGTGCAAATGTAACTGCCAAGTCCAAACTCTGATAGCGCATTTTGCCCGCACATGAAAATAGTAGAGGCATATGGCTAGATCGACATTGCGGGGCTGATACACGCGCACTACAAATATTCCTTTTTGCAATTAGATAACACACACATTTGGCCAAAAATCCATCGGCCTCAAATCACTGCAACGCACAGTTCCTAACGGGTAGTGCATTAGCCAGAATAAAGCTCAATTGCTCTTGCAATCAGCACATGCAAACTGACGAGCAGGTCACCGCATGTACCCTCAAATGAGCATGCAGACATCAAGCTCAAACTGCCATCGCTTTACTTCTAGCGACGAGACACGCAGTCCTCAGGTTAAGTTACTAACTGGGACTTATGCTGTTTTCAGGCTAAGGAAGAGTTTTTAAACATGGGCCACGTCATCGCTAGCCGATGTTATAGGGAGTCATTGAATAGTTCAGGCGTTTGTTTAAATCTTTCCGATCTTTAAATTTTTCACTACTCCTTGTTCCAAACGATCGGTGGTATTTGTGTAAAAATTCCGCTTTTTCTCCAGCTAGATCACTAAACAGTAATTTCTTCTTTTCTAAAGTCAGAAAACCGGAGCCAGAATCGATGAATGGTGTGGACACAACGGCTGTAACACCTAAGGCGGTGTTGCCTGTAGGTACAAACGAGGCAGCAAATCAGAAGCAAGAGCACGTCCGGTCTTATCAATGATAGGAGTGGATAAAGATGGAGTAACAAAGCAAATGGCGTGGGTTCGCCAACTTGGCTACCTGAAACGCTGGGTAATGGGACATCATTGGTCCAACATAACCTCGGCTTATTCTAGCTTGGAAACTGTATTTTATATGCTGCCTAATAGTGCGGTTCTAAGAGGCTTAGTTTAATTTGGGGACTAGCTGCGGTCATTAATACATGGTGTACATGCCATTTAGATAGAAAAAACTCCAAGGATTGATAGGTGTGATCAAAAGATCAGACAAATGGAGCATTTTCTGGATAAGTCCTTCCCAGAATTCGGTTTAAAATCTCCCAGACAGGTAACCACTGGTTGAGTTCGGTGTAAACTAAAAGACAATGTTGGGTGTACGACAGTTTTTTTGCGGCCTCCGAAGCAGCTGGCAGCCATTAGAATACCTCTAACTCCGCACATCCTCAACGTGCAACCCCGTTTGCGCATTTCACTCATGCAGGTGACTTCGCGGCACTTGACGCTATCCACTTGCGATGGCATTCCAGGTAACGAAGCCTCCATTGTAGAGCATAGAATGTTTGCTACTGTAGAGAAGTGCTAACGGAAGCACCGGTAGTTACTGTTGTGCTAGAGTTAGGTGCAGACGGCTGGATACTCTAGAGTAAGCCTAAGTTAATAAAATAATCTGATGCACTAAGCTTACCAGTCTATTTCTGAATAGTCCGGATCTCGAGTGACGGTTCACACTGATTTGCACTGTTCAAGCAGAGATTGCTGCACTGCGACTCGATCCCGGCGGGTTGTGCTTGTCTGTTGGAACTAGGTATCTGTTAAGCAAGAAATCAAACAACACCGTTCAGAAACCGGGTTCAACATTGGCCATACATGCGGGACGGTTGTGTACAATCCCAAGCATAGGGAGAAACTTGCGTTAATTTCCAAAGAGAAATCCAGCCTGTGACGCACGTCATGCTCATAAGCGACCAAGGATAAGCGTCTCCGCTTGAGCTGACACTAAGTTGTCACACTAAAAACGTGCATTTATTTGAACAACATATCTCTCATTGGTGGTTCGGTGTTGCTCCTCCGAACCCTGACACCTCACAACCGGTTTCATCCTCCTGTGGACTCAGCAGACGGAGATAGCCTGAGCTGGGTTAAACCTTGAGCCCTGGTGGTTAAAGTTTGACGCCTTGACCACTATGGCTCTAAGACTCGTGACCAAAACTTGGCACAGCGGTAAGGATTCGAAGTTGCATTTTGTGTACCCGCTGTGTGGTTGGATTGCGACTTGCAATCTCCATTCAGACCCCGGAGCTTTTTGAAGTAGATCTCGGTTATCGCGATCACAAGAACCGTATGCTAATTGGTGGTTCAATGTTGCTACTCCCAACACTGACACTCCTAACCGGTTTCGTCCTCATTTGGACTGATCAGGTCTCCCTCAGGTCAGTCTAGCTCCATCTGATGAGTCCAACCGAGGAGGAAACCGATTATGGGGTGTCAGTTTTGGGAGGAGCTACATTGAACCACCAATTCGGATACGGCCTTTGTGATGGTAATGACCGAAGTCTACCTCAAAGAGGAGCGACGCCTGAATAGAGATTGCGAGTCACAACCCAACCACACAGCTGGTACACCAAATGCCACCTGGAATTCCTTACCGCTGGCCTAGCGTTGGTCACGGGTCTTAGAGCCATAGTGGTCAAGGCGTCAACCTTTAAACACTAGGCCTCTAGGCTCACCCCATCTCAGATTATCTCCATCTGCTGAGTTCAAACGAGGACAAAACCGGTTATGGGATGTCAGCGTTGTGAGGAACAACACCGAACCTCCAATTCGGGTACGGTCCTTGTGATCGTAATGATCGAGGTCTACTTCAAAGAGGACAGAGGTCTGAATAGAGATTGGGAGTTGCAATCCAACCACACAGCAGGTACATCAAATGCAAGTTTCAACATATCTCTCACTAGATCCCAGTTCTGTCATTTAAAGCGAACGACATAATAATAATTGGACAATCTCAACTGTGCAACACGACAACTGAACAAATGATGATAGTTAACCTATTGAACCTATTCACCGTCTGCCTTGTTTTGCCCTTATAGCAAATGGATGAGTGTAAACAACTAGAAAAGAGCATGAGGCGAATGGATAAAATACGTAAACTCGCGGACGAATTGTTGTACCAGTGCATCCCAAGGGGAGTGGCCGTGAAGCTTCGCAACGGGACGCCGGCTATGGAGACCATACAGGTAAAATTTCGTAAAAATGATGTTCTTCTCGGAGAGGAAGCACTCTGATCATGATTTGGCTGGCTCCGTGCAATCATCAGTATTTCGGCAGAAGCAATTCATTAAATTGCCAAATTCAGCTGGCTAGGTATTTAATGAAACATTTCATATTAGATAAATCTATGTTGCATCGCAGGCACTTATAATCCAGTAAAGATACCGCATGCGTCTCTGGCTAGTAAACTCAAAGCGTTTGGTCTGGAAATCGATTTAAACATTGGTTCTATGTAGCGAAATGTAGGCGGCTGGATGCTTCTTTCAACTACCTATTAAATGCGGCTTGTAAAGCCACATAGTAGACTGTTAAACAAGCAATATCTGTGCCATTCCGAGCAACTGCATTGTTTTGTAAATCTCAGATAGTGGGATCTTAGTTTTGTGCCATTGATGTGCCCCAGTAAAGATCAATACACATGGTTAGAAATATTTTGCGTCAGATGAGCTACCGTAAGACTGTCTAATAAGCGGAGAAATTCGCTTCATAAAATCCAAAGGAAGACGAACTTCTGCTCATATGCGGGACTATATTTTCAGTGAGGCACTCAGGGGCTCGATGCCGTGCTAAATTCAGGACATTGGGATACTGTTTCTATCATCACTAGAAGGCCCAGAGTATTCTACACGCGGTCCATTGTAGGCACTTAGCAATTGAACAAAATTTGAAGAAGTCCATTTATTCCGATGATATTCCTAAGAGCCCTTACTTTCCTTGCCAAGGTTCGATGCTTCCTTGAACTTGCTGGTGTAACCCGAGACAACCGGAACAACTATTACGGAGCTAAGTTCGACAGACGGGTCTGACAGCACATGCCAACAGTGTTTGCTAGTGGTATGTACTCTGAGGTCTTGAAGGGAGAATTTAGTATTTGTCCACTCTGAAAAGTCTTACCTTTTGGGCTAACGCGCTACTTACCCTATCCAAAACAGCTGGTGCAGTCGTTAAACAGTGTTCAGCTCAATTATATGTGACACAAATACGAGAACTTAGCATATATGATTTTCTCGGAGTGATTAAGGATTACTAAAAGCATACTTGTCCCAATAGTGAGCCTTGTAGTGCATCAAATTAGATCTAAATGTTTTCAGGCAGAGAGTCCAGAACTCCGATCACTAGTTTCTTCTGAATGGGGAATTTGGTATCAACATTACTAATGGATTGCCGATAACTTCCTACTGGGCGTCTGAAGCTGATGCCGACGATCCAGGTTGCAGGATCGTTTACCTTAATCTAGGCAGGTCACATCGCCTACTTCATTAGGATGACTAGATCCAACCCAACTGTCTCGTGCTAGTAACTGCTTTGTGGAGTTCGACCATCAGCATAGAACTCTCTACGCATGAACAAAAATGCTGCAATTACCCTCATAAACCGTCAAGAAATGAGCAACACTGGGCTGTGTGACACTAGCAAATAACGTCAGTTAAGTCACCGGGAAGCAGGTGTGAATTAGAGTAAGCATCCTTAGTTTTATAATGGTGGCAACATTCCACTGATGAATGCGCCGCTAAAAATGCTGGCCTGGATGCCCAACTTATTCCCTTGTCGCAGTTTATGGTGCATTCGAACAAACTGTAGCCAACCCAGTGTGTAAACAGGCCGAAGGAAAAACATAGAGTATTTGGCTGCTCCGCGGCGACCACAGTTGATTCTTTTCGTGTTCATTAGACCTGCTTGCCGCATAGGCATGGCAAGCAGGATTGTTGAAATAATCTATTGTTTGGCACCAGAATCTCAAAGGCGGATCACAAAACGACCGAATTAGTCACTCTCCTAGCAACATTCGTTCCTTGTGACAAAACCGCCTCCTTTACACAAACTGTGGGGGAAATTTATGCATGGTTTGAGATGGATAAAACAGACGAGATTCGTGGAGCGAATGGGTAGTGTACTGTAACATAGAGCAGAAGCCTGTGCATTATTTCTAATGAAAGTTTTCACCTACTTGGTTTGCACTTTAGCAATAGGTGCGTGCATTCTATGGACCGCAACTAAAAACTCAGTGAGAGGATGACAACGGCTGAGCGTACCTCAAACTAAAAGCTGTGCTTCCACTGCATGCACGTGTGTGGCTAACCACTAGTACTAAACACTAAAAGTTTTCCTAACAGTGTTTTGACAGAAGAATGTTACTCGTTCCCAGATAGCGCAACAAATAGCTTAGGACTATCACAGTGTACTGGGATTTTACTGTAAACGTTAGTATTTGATCCGGGTTGTTTTTGCAATCTTTCTTCTTCACATTCGCCTTTCAGACATTTGATGCCGTGAGCATCTGCTTCACTAAAGTGGTGAATTTCCGCACCAAATGCATGGAAATTAATGTGCAACAGACAATCGAATTACTGAACCAAATGTACACGCTATATGACTCGCTCACAGAATTGCACAAGGTATACAAGGTGAGCACAGTTGTTTACTGTTTAGGGTTGTGTTGATTAGAGGCCAAACTTAGTTACTAGCGTAGGCCTCACGAGAGCGACTCATAGTACTCAAATCAGAACTGTGGCTAGTGAATAGAGGTGCTCTCTGATTTGTCAAGATGCTTATGTGTGATGTGCTTGAAGGTTTAGTGTAGGCAGCTCCTTTGCGCAACTTCGTGTGCGACCAAGCAAAATGGTTACATCTGCTCCAAAAATGCCAGTTGAGTAAGGCTATTTAAAAGCTCCCCAAGAACGTTAGTTGGAAAGGTGGTACGAAACTTCATTTAGAAAGTTTAACATTTCATTGCGCTGTCCTGTTGAATGAGAACAGGAGCACCCACATTAAACTCACAGCCATTTGATCAAGACTGCTGAATGCATGAATATATGTATATTTTTATATATGGCTGGCGGCATCCGGTTTCGGATTTGCCTGTCACTGTGGCAAGCCACAGGACGCCCGCGCCTACAGAGGGACCATGGATGGCTTGCGATGCACCACTCACAGCTCCAACCACATACCCCATATCCAGTGTAAACCCGAAGGAATAAGACCGGGAGGCATGCGGATGGGAACCACGTTACATCAACGGAGCCGGCCCACACTCCTTCACAGGCAAACACAAGCACACTGCATTTGGGGAATCAAGCGCACACAAGACGGTGACTGGACCGTAGTCCGCTCCACACTGAGTGCATGGAACCGCTCTTTGAGCCTAGCACGGCCACAAGAACCGTGCACCCCGTCCCCTCCAGCAACGACCAACTGTCTCCTGGAGCCAGTATGAACGATGTATGGGTAATAGAGCGGTAGGCACCTTGTCAACATACACATCAAGCGCAACCATACCAGGGATATCAAACAACAGCCATTCACTTTAAACGACAAGCTGAAATAAAATAAATCCAATAATGCATACAGATACGGTGGCATAACTCTTCGCTAAATTACCATGTGAAGTAATTTGGTTAGCAACAAATCCGTGATAAGTAAGAAATGTCCACAAGTTACTTAAAATGCTACAAACGCAACAAACTTACCGAAGATAAGCGCAATTAGTGTAAGCAACGTGGCCAGTTAATAGAACATTATTCAGAGAGGCAGAACAAACCAAATAAAGCGGAATGAAAATTATCCAGCTTAAAAAGACCTAGTTTAAGTGTAAGTTGGTTTAACCCAACTGCGGTGAAGAAGGATCAAGAATGCAACATCAGCCTCAGCATGGGGCACACATTTTTATATATATATATATATATATATATATATATATATATATATATATATATATATATATATATATATGGTGCGCTGAGGCTGGTGGTGGCTAGATCCTGACAGATGGTCTACCCACTGCTGCTACTGTTGCGTCATATTCTCATGTCCTGGGCGCCTCCACGTGGCGACCGCTGGGTAGGAGTTGGGTTTCGCCCTTCTCCCTGCTAAGATCCAGGACACCAATCCGCATGAGTCAGCTAACTGACCACGTGCTAGACCCGTTGCCTTTCGGGTGTTCATTTTATCGAAGGCTTTGGCTGAGGACCCGAGTCGTTCTCCTGTCAGGTGTGGGCGCCCTGGCAGTATCCTAGTCCATCCTCTTCGGAGGTTAGGTAGTGGCCGATGTCCCCCTTCCCGTAAAAACTAGCCATGGCAGACAGCAGGTCTACGGGTTCTAAGCTCACAGCGTGATTGGCGAAGAGCACGAGTGCCACACCTTGTCTCTGACGGTGGAAGGACATCTCCGGGTGTTCAATGGTTTGCTACTGCCCGCCTCAAGCGAGGCAGCCCCTGGTCAAATTAGTGCAAACCCGCCAAAAACCCACTTGCGTCTGGCCGTGGTCGCAGGTACGTATCCTACTACGGTCGCAAAACATATGATAATTGTTCCAGAACCTCAAAGGCTGCGTGTGACGGCCGTCAAGCAGATCCCAATCTGTCTCTGCAATCACATTCCCGAGCTGGATCTGCTCCCCACTGCCTTGTGGGTCAGGCTATTGAGCCAAAGGCTCCGGGTGGAGTCCCTCAAGCAAACCTCCAAATCACCCACTGCCTTGTGGGTCAGGCTATTGAGCCAAAGGCTCTGGGTGGAGTCCCTCAAGCAAACCTCCGAAGCACAACGACCACCTCGCGTGCGATTTCCCACCAATGCAATCGTATGCCTGCGCGCAAAGCACTCAGCATCGGGTGCTGGAACATGCGCACACTACTGGACCGGAACTCCAGTGAGCGCCCGGAGCGACGCACTGCACTGGTCGCGATGGAGCTGGCGCGCTACAACATCGATATTGCGGCGCTCAGTGAAACTCGGCTCGCTGAGCAAGGCAAGTTGCATGAAGCAGGTGCTGGCTACATATTCTACTGGGTGGGCAACGCCGCCTCAGCACCACGTGAACATGGGGTCGGATTTGCAATATCCGATCGCCTCAATGGCCAGCTGGTGGGTGAATCAACGGGCATCAACACGCGACTGATGACTGTTCGCCTACGACTTGGAAGAGGTAAGTTTGCTACTTTTATAAGCACGTACGGTCCGACCATGTGTTATCCTGATGACACGCGTGATCAATTCTACACTGAGCTATCATCCGTGATACGGTCTGTGCCGAGGAGCGACCGACTATTTCTGCTGGGTGATTTCAACGCGCGCGTTGGGCGTGATGCATCAGCGTGGACAGATGTTATCGGTGCGCATGGCATTGGTTCAGCGAATGCGAACGGTGACAGGCTGCTCTCACTGTGTACCACTCACGGCCTGACGATCACGAACACTCGGTTTGCACTGAGTGCGAGTGATATAGCAACTTGGACACACCCACGGAGTGGTCAAGCTCACCTGCTCGACTATGCCATCGTACGTCAGCGTGATATGCGTGAAGTACGCATGACACGTGTACTGCGTGAAGCTGAGTGTGGCACTGATCACAAATTGGTGCGGACCAAACTGTACATATATTTTCGTAAATCTATGTATTGCACTCCCGCCGTGAATCGGCGTAAATTTAACATTCTCTCCCTCGGTACTGTGGCGAAACGTACTGAGCTGGAGAAGGCGATGGCTGCACGCCTGTGTGATGTGCACTGCATAGCCACAGTGGGCGACCTGTGGCACCACATTCGTGATCAGGTGACAGCTGCTGCCGAGGAGACCATCGGGCGCACAAACCTTAAACGGCCTGATTGGTTTGATGAGAACAATGCGACGATTGGCGCATTGGTGTCGGAGAAGAATGCAGCATTTGCTGCACATGTGGCAGACCCCAGTAACTTGGGGAAGAGTAGTCAGTTTCGCAAACTTCGACGGCGACTGACCCGAGAGCTCCGTCGCATTAAAAATGCATGGTGGACGGAGAAGGCGAAGCAGATGGAATGGTACGCCGAACGCCGTCAACACAAGGAATTCTTTGACTCCTTGAAGGCGGTGTATGGACCGAGATTGGAGCCGCTGAGGACACTGATTGATGGTAGTTCAGGCGCTACCTGCACCCAGACTGCAGACATAATGCAGATCTGGCGGAAACACTTTGACTGTCTCTTGAACAACTGTTCAGAGATCGACTGGCCTATATTGAACGGCCTGAAGCAGCACGATGTGAAGGCGGATCTGGCGGATACGCCGACACTGGATGAGACGCAGAGAGCACTTGCTCAGCTGCGAAACGGCAAGTGTGCCGGAGCCGACGGGATCCCGCCTGAAGTATTGAAACAGGGCGGACCCGCGTTGTTGACTGCGCTGCACCACTTGGTGCAACGCGTGTGGATTGAGGAGGAGGTGCCTGCTGAGCTGAAGGATGCCCTTGTGCTACCACTGTACAAGGGCAAAGGTAGCAAGCAATGTTGCACGAATTATCGTGGCATCAACTTGCTGAGTTGTGTGGGCAAGGTGATTGCCCGAATCCTGCTCGACCGCCTCGTCAGTCAGGTTGTGGAATCTAACGTGGCGGAGGAGCAGTGTGGATTCCGTTCGGGTCGCAGCACTATAGATATGGTGTTTGCGGCTCGTCAGTTGCAAGAGAAGTGCAGAGAACGACACCAGCCATTGTACTCGCTTTTTGTTGATTTCACCAAGGCATTTGATACGCTGAACCGCGAGGCACTGTGACTGGTGTTGGGTAAGTTTGGTTGCCCGCGTAATTTTGTAAGTTTAATCGAATGTCTGCACAGTGGTATACGAGCGAGGGTGCAGCTGAGTGGAGAGACCTCGGATGACTTTGCAGTTATCTCTTGTGTGAAGCAAGGCTGTGTCTTAGCTCCTGCCCTGTTTAATATCTATCTTCATGCAATGTTGTCTTGTGCTTTTGATGCCATTTGTGCTTACGGTGTTCGTGTAGAGCACCGTATTGATGGTGGGTTGCTGAACAGCCGTCGTTTCGATGCGAGAACTCTAGTCTATGAGACAACTATCCGTATGTTTCTGTTTGCTGAGGACTGTCCGTTGTTTTCACACAGCGCGGATGAATTGCAGCACATGACTAGTGCTCTGGCTTCGACAGCGGCCAAATTCGGGCTCACCATCAACACAAGCAAAACTGTCTGTCTCTTTCAGCCTTCACCGGAGGTGCAATCTTCAATATTGCCGCGAATTAGCATTGGTGCTGAAGTATTGGAAACCACCTCCCGCTTCAGCTACCTTGGGAGTGTGATGTCGACTGATCAGCAGCTACACGTTGAGTTGCGTAATCGCGTGTCGAAGGCAGCAGCGGCATTCGGGAAGCTAGAGTACCGAGTGTGGAACAACCATCAGCTTACCATTGGCACGAGTCTAATGGTGTACAAATCCATGGTACTGTCCGTTCTTCTATACGGCAGTGAAACGTGGACGATGTACCTTTGGGATGTGCGAAATCTCGAGTGGTTCCATCAGCAGTGTCTGCGACGAATTTTGCGGATCGGCTGGGGCGACAGAGTTGCAGACACGGAAGTTTTGCGCCGAAGTGGGATGTATGCAGTGGACTGCATACTTTTATTGCGACACCTGAGATGGCTCGGTCCTGTGAGCCGTATGGATTCGACGCGGATACCGAAACAACTCTTATACGGTCAGCTGAGTATTGGGAAGCGGCACGTGGGGAAACCAAAGTTACGTTACTAGGACATGATTAAAGTGAGCCTCACACGTTCTAACCTTGATTGCAGATCATGGGAATCGAAGGCGGTTGATCGGCGTGCATGGCGCGATCTAATCACGAAGGCAGTTGCTGAAATGCAGGAGAAAGCCCTCATGCATACAGAGAAGAAGCGGCAAGTGCGGAAGCGGCAAGCACCGATGGATTGTACTTCATCGACATCAAGCGCATGGTGCTGTAGAACATGCGGTCGCGAGTGCCTTAGTCAGGCAGGCTTAGTGAGCCATGAGCGAGGCTACTTGGGACCACTGCCGAAGCGACGACGGGTCCTGCAGTGAACGTAGGCAGCACCGGCGCAGCGTTTGTAGGTACGCTGTTTTCGATTTTCGATTTACTAACCGCGTGCTTGCATGCTAAGTCTCTTTATTGCAGGTGGTGGGTTTTCAATTTTGCCTTAATGCTTTTCTTGCTCATATAAATGTCCGCCTGTACTCTATTCCATTAAATTGCAAACCTCGCTTAAGGCAATTGTATTTGATTTCCGTAGCATATTTCTGTTCGTGGCATTCCGTGCACTATACTTTCTGACCTCGTGCACCTATCTAGGATTTGTTTGTAAGCAACTTATTACATATGCTCAGTAAATTAAGGTTTATGTCACCGTTTCCTTATGCATTAATCGAGTTTTTCTCTTTTTTCTTTCTCTCTTCCTCTCTCAAGTGATTGGCTGTTGTTTGATATCCCCGGTGTGGCTGCGCTTAATGTGCATGTTGACAAGGTGCCTACCTGTCTATTACCCACTACCTCCTCCATACTGGCTCCAGGAGACAGTTGGTCGTTGCTGGAGGGGACGGGGTGCACGGTCCTTGTGGCCGTGTTAGGATCAAAGAGTGGTTCCATGCAGTCAGTGTGGAGTGTACTATGCTCCAGCCATCGCCGTGTGTGCGGCTGATTCCCAGCCACAGCGTGCTTGTGTTTGCCTGTGAAGGAGTGTGGGCCGGCTCCGTTGATGTAACGTGGTTCCCATCCGCATACCTCCCGGTCTTATTCCTTCGGGTTTACACTGGATATGGGGTGTGCGGTTGGAGCTGTGGGTGGTGCAGCGCAAGCCATCCACGGTCCCTCTGTAGGCGCAGGTGTCCTGTGGCTTGCCACAGTGACAGGCAAATCCGAAACCGGATGCCGCCAGCCATATATAAAAATATACATATATTCATGCATTCAGCAGTCTGAATCAAATGGCGGCATCCGGTTTCGGATTTGCCTGTCACTGTGGCCAGCCACAGGACGCCCGCGCCTACAGAGGGACCATGAATGGCTTGCGTTGCACCACCCACAGCTCCATTCACACACCCCATATCCAGTGTAAACCCGAAGGAATAAGACCGGGAGGCACGCGGATGGGAGCCACGTTTCATCAACGGAGCCGGCCCACACTCCTTCACAGGCCAACACAAGCACGCTGTATTTGGGGAATCAACCGCACACAAGGCGGTGACTGGACCGTAGTCCGCTCCACACTGAGTGCATGGAACCACTCTTCGAGCCTTGCACGACCACGAGGACCGTGCACCCCGTCCTCTCCAGCAACGACCAACTGTCTCCTGGAGCCAGTATGGAGGAGGTAGTGGGTAATAGACAGGTAGGCACCTTGTCAACATGCACATCAAGTGCGGCCACACCTGGGATGTCGAACAACAGCCAATCATTGGAAATGACAATATCGAATAAACTAAACGCATACGACGACATAAATACTCGCTAAATGAGCAGATGGAAGAAATTGGTTATAAGTGAATCCGCAATAAGTACAAAATGTCCGAAAGTTATTTAAAAAATACCACGCGATAAAATTACGCAAGTTTACCACGGTTTGCATGAGCGGCGTGTGCAAGTTAGGAGAAGATTATCAATTACGCAGAACAGACCAAATAAAGTGGAATGAATTTTATCCACATTAAACTGACCTAGTTTAAGTGTAACTTGGTTTAGCCCAACTGCGGTGAAGAAGCATCATGAATGCAACATCGGTCTCAACGTGGAGCATTATATATATATATATATATATATATATATATATATATATATATATATATACCTATAAGCTTACTGACTGGTTGTCATATGGTACCCAGCTCCTGTTGTATTTCGCGGTACTTTTCACTTTGTCGGTGGCTGTCATGAAAGTTGCTTTGCGATTTTTTGCATATTGTGCACTGAATCTGCAAGCCTCCATCTGTTCGCATTATGTCTTCCACCTCTGTTCCGTTAACACAGGTTGAGACAGTTGGTGATAGTTACATGTTGGTATCTGGAGCTCCTCAACACACCACATTGCATGCTGCCCACATTACTGAAATGGCGTTGCAAATATTGGACGTCACCCGGAATAAACTATCCTGGCCTTTAAAGACAGACGAAGCAAAGGAGATGAAGAAATGTCCGTATTCGTCGGAACCACTACAGTTGTTCATAGGATGTAACAGTGGTCCGATTGTGGCCGGTGTAGTTGGATACAAGACGCCTCGGTACTGCCTTTTCGGAGACACTGTGAACGCGGCAAGTCGCATGATGAGCAACGGATCGGTAAGTTCCAGTCAATCCAACTTAAGATGAAGCCCATAACTTTACTACCACTGTGCAGACAATGATGACAGTAGGAGGATAAGCGGAGGTCGACTGCACAAGCCCCTATGGTATGTGCACGAAATAAGGATTTAGGTATGGGGTTTTGCGCATTCCAATGATCAAGAATGGTCGTATACTAGCTGTTCGAATCTCTCATGGACCAGTGTTCGATCCACCATTCACTCCAAGAAACAACGAGCTTGCCCATTTAATGAATGCGTTATAAAAATTTGCTCTTCATAATTCTTAGCCATCGTCTACTCACGTTAAAATCAAGCACATTAATTGTCTCTTTGATTAGTTGAGTCCGAATGGGATTTCATTACTCATAGCACTGGGCCAGCACGGATCTACCAAGCAAATCATTCACCGCATACACGTAATTATCCAGCGCATGGGAATACAAAAAGACAGCAGTTTACTAGCAGCTTACATGACCAGTATGGACGGGGGCCGCTGAGATACGGTGAAAAGCATTGTGGGCTTCAGTGATAAGTCAAGAATCGGAATCAAAATTAGTTGCACTGATGGGAACCGTCATTTCTCCGTTCCCTCTGGTTAAATCCGCAGCATTATTCCACTACACTCATTACAAGTCTCTAATTAAGCACACAGCTATCCGGGTTCACAATCTAGTCGCATACAAATGAGTAGAAATCTCTTGTCCGATAAACTGCACCTGCTAGCCCATGCAGAATGTAACCTCTGATGTAACAATCCCGGTAGAACTAAGAAGAAGGTGAATTGCATTCTCTAGTGAATTGTTCTCAATACGGAACTTACCGCACTTCGTGTGAAGTGACAAGATGCATAATGTTTTTGATGCACATGTCAGGCGCGTCTATATGGGTCCATGAAACTTCATTAAGACATCCTGACGACATTTTAGAGCATACTGGATGCATGGCATAATTGGCGGATAACCGATGTGTCAGGTACTAAGTTATCGAATATTTTGAACGACGCATCAAGTGTGGATGTGAAGATTGGAAACCAGTTACATAACATGTGAGATCCCTGTTCGAGAGTTCACTGTCGGCGTTGTTCGCTTACGATTCCACATTTCTCAGGAATAAAAGCTCATCGTCGAATCCAGTGTGCTCATGTTAACTGCACTGGACCATTGTTATCAGCATAATAACAGCGCATTTGATTCCTCAAAATAACGACGATCAATTTGGAAAGTCAGGTCGGAGGAGACAACCGAAAGCTACAAGTCATTTTTAAACAATTTGTTAGATATGCTGGTGGCTATTCATCTGGATCACTAAGCTACACACCCGTTGCTGTGGTGGTTCACTTATGAACGCATTCGCTCCCAAACAGTTTGGCTACATTTGGCTGTAGCCGATGCCCTTTTGTCCTTTGTTACAATTCATATGTTTCAAATTGGTGGGAGTCAACGGCGTAGCACATATTTTTACCGCAACCGGACAGTTGAAAAATCTTCACCATGTCTGAGTGCAGAATAGGCACGTGAAAGCCACACAATCAGCACGGGATAAAGTGCACATTAGTTTTTGAAGAAATGGATGCTCGTTTGTAACACTGAGGTAAAAATGTAGTGAAAGCGCCCAATATGGGTCAAGCATGAGGATCACTGGGAACAACGTTTGCACAGATCTGCTATATGGAACAAAAGCGTTGCTGGTCATACAACATAACGTTAAACTATTCAAGTCAGCTTATCTGGAAATTGTATCCCTTACATTTGGTACCGTTCAATCAACGGTACTAGAAATTTTGCCCGGGGCGAATCGCCCCGCCCCCTCTTTCTGGGCCTATGGTGAGCATTCATCAAAGAGTGACTGAGGGCAGAGCAAAAAGTTTCCAGATGCACAAATGTATTAATTTTTGCAAAAGATGTGCATTATGTTTACTTCAAGTACTCTCTACCAACATTTATGCACAGTTCCATGTGCTCAAACCATTTGGCGAAACAGCTAGAACATGCCGAAGCGGATAACCCTTTAAGCAGCACAGTAAAGCCTCTGTTGCAGCATCCGGAGAATCCCAGCGGATTCTACGGATCCTGCGTTGACATTTGGGAACACAAATTAATGACACGGAGCCAGGTCTGGACGGCAGGGTGGGTGACCAATCTTCTGGATGTATGCTTTAGCCAGAAAACCTACGACGAGTTGGAACATGTGTGCAAGTGCTTTGTCATCATAAAACATGGTCCCTCGTGTTCGAATCCTCGGACCACCCATGGCTACAGCTTCCAGCACTTTTGGCTGACAGTGATGGCTACCAGTCTCTGGCGACTATGCGTTGCTGCACGAGCGGTGTAGTAGCCACATGATCAGTCTTGGCCACGAAAACAGCCACCATCTGCTTGGCCACACTGCGCTCAAACAGGAATTTCAAAGGCGGCCAGCAACGGCCGTTCACTGAGCCGGTTGTTGCTCTGTCTCTGGGTCGAAACTGTGCACCGAGGTTTTTATCACCACTGAGGATCGCCCAAGCAGCATTGGAGTTTCCGCCATCGAAAATGGCAAGCATGGTGCAGCACCAACTCGCCGGAGTTGCTTTCTGGACCACACTGAATTGATGGGGTACCCAGCTTGCGCAAACCTTTCTGAGGTCGCGGTTCTCATGTACGATGGTGCGGATTGCTCCCGAAGAGATCCCGATGGTTTTCCCCAGCTGTACCACAGTCACTCACATATCCTCCTCCAGCATCGCTAGCACAGCAACATTGTTGTCCACAGGTCGACCACACCGTCCCTCATCATGCATGAACGGCCTGCCACGCTTGGGTTCTGCGAACTACTCAACCACGATGGTTCTTGAAAGCGCATCATCAACAAACGCATCACGCAACCACCCAACGCTCTTGTGCTGCTTTAACTCACATTTGTAGTCATAGCAAATCACCGCTTCCAGTGAAATCGTCTGAGTTCCATACTTACGCTACTGCGTACGTTTGTGCAATCGGAGCAGCAGCTGTTGTTGTTGTTGTTGTACACAACATGGCAACTTATGTGCGTGCCACACTGTTTAACTTGACGGTTCTATTTTCATTGGCCTTCGTTCTACCATACGCTGTTTTCTCCTTGCAGCCCGACAAAATCCACATAAGCCGATCGTTTGCTGACACGCTCGCTCCCTATCCATACGTTGTCAAATACAGAGGGAAAATGGACATCAAGGTGATTGGTCTGCTTGCTTAATCTATATAATTCTTGTGTCCCACACCTGTAACTTTGCAAGTGCATGTGCATCTGCCTCATCTCCATTGTCTCTTACCATTCGTATAGTTTTGTTAAAGGATAACAGATGAACCACCTTCGGTCACATTGTAGGAGCATGTGCATTGACTTGATGTAGGGCTGGGCAGTATCTTACAGTTAAAAGTTCCACATCACAATCGTAACACTACGCCACACACAGGCAGAAGATAGGATCAAATGGATTACAGGTCAGCTGCAAACGGTACATTTTTGCCTGAGTAGAAATAAGCTAGAGTACACTGCTTGAGCCTAGTAACACATGGTGGTATTAGTTATTTGTGTTACGCCCTTAAATATAACGGTGAACGTACATCAGTGTTGGGTAATTGGTGGTAGACCGTCGATACTTTTTGTTACAACATCCCTGTCGACACCCACTGACCGCATACCTAGCATAAGCCTAGCAGGATATGTGCCGGAGACTTGCGTTGAAAGCACTATTGATTCTGAGGCAGACGGCACTTCCTTTTATTTTTGAGAGGATTCGTCGCAGATAGACTGCGCCAGAAAGCCACCACATCTCCAGGGAAGGCCTAGAAGGCCGTTTTAACTTATTGGTACTCCTGAGTAGTGCGCAGCCACCAGATCCTGCCGGTTTCGACCTCATGACCATACTAGTATGGGCCAGCGATTTATACCACTGACCTATGTATGGCAGCGGCGAACGGATATAACTGATATCCAACTGCGATATAGCGCTGCTAGTCTCCACTGTCATAGATTATGTGAGGGTGCAGAGGAAAGGATTGGCCTCCAGAGCTACGACTCTCATTCTAAGCCGCCACCAATCCAGGTTCCGTGTGACCTGTTAAGAGACTACGGATCATAATCAGCGGGTAGTATGGGGTTTACGGTGTTTTTCGGGAGGCTGGGTCGCAGCTAGACTTTTGGACATTCACATCACTGGTGAAAATTCTCGCGAAAATTTCTCATTACACGAACGTAGGAGGTTGGTTGTGCTGCACTCCGTCTTCTGGTAAAATCGCATTTGTTCCGACCACTGGCAAGAAGATTGTGTACTCTGATTTCCTAGGCATCGCTTTGTGACCTCCAGGAGCAAATAATCATTTTCGGATTATCTCACTTGTGAGCTCCATATACTCAATCACATTCAACCATACGGTACAAGGTCTATGCAGAGTAACTATGAATCCAATGGGGGGAAACACGAGACCGAAAACGACGAAATACTGCATATGCCACATAGGCAACCTGCCACTGTGTTGGTAGATGATTCGAATAGTTGCGTCTTTCAGCTTTACAACCAGCATTTCTGTGCATTTGTGTATATGCATGGACGTGGGGCTGCGAAACCTTGCGACATGCTCCATGACACGTAAGGCAGCGCAGCTTTACTTCATCACTACGCTTTGTATTCCGGTAGATAATCACATACTTGTGTGCCAGTGCTGATACAGGAACATTATAAGGAATTTTGCTTTTTCTGATTCGAAAAACATTACCAGGGTTGCTCTGCAACATACGATACTTAAACAGTGAAATCACAGGAAACCAAACCCTTTAATCCACCTAAACTTGGTGATCAGTTTGCAACGGATGACTGCGTCCAATGTCAATGGAAGCGATTCGCACTGTCTGTGCACTGAAAGTGTAAGTGTTTCCCTGTTCTGTGATGCGGTTCGGGATTGGTTGGTTCCCATGCACACTGATCGTGTGAGAGGCATAAGTCAGTGTTCGTCACCTAGACTAACTAGACACTCTTTGTGAGTAGCGTAGGACGACCACCTTTAACTTTGGATGTTCATTTAAGTTTGCCGGTTCGCCAGACATGAAATCTGGTGACAACAACCTTCTACTAAGACATCATCCCATACTTTAGACCAGAAACAAACTTGATGAAACTCTTCACTATGCTGCCGCATCTTCTGTCCCGTTAGCGCAGATCTATTGTCACTGAGTTCACTGCAGTATAGATACAGCGCAGTCTGTGCAATTATAAACCTTCTAATCACAATGTTATTTAAGCTAAGTGGTTGGTCTCTTATCAGCACCGATATCTTCAGTGTTTCATTTTAACACTTCGCACTTAAGACTCAGGCACTCCTTGCATCAGCCTCAACTATCTAAATGGATGATAAAGTTACTTGTATGAATTTGTTTGATGCACGGCTTTCTGACAAGAATGACTGCTTGCCTTATAGGGTCGCAGCGTAATAAACATGTGCTTTGTTTAACCAACCTCAGTTACTGGACGTGCGCTGTGCTGCTGACAAAACAAAAATCTATCGCAGGACTGCAACCCCTTTTGCATTTCCAAACACTAGCAAATTACCACCAACCGGAGGGTGGGGTTTCCCAGTGTAAACTCCCAAAGTAAGGTGCACATTTATTGCAATCCCTTCCAAATTACTTTGCTCATCAACCTAAAGAAAATATGACTCCCATCTGTCACTTGGCTATGTGTGTTTTGCAGGGTAAGGGAGAAATGGATACTTACTTTGTCGAAGGACGTGCTCAAGAGTTTGTCATTATCGATGAGCATACTGGCACTCGGCAAAACTTCGCGGATATTCTGAAAAGGGATGATTTTGAACAACCTGATGATTCGCTTTTGGAACAACCGATGGCCGAAGAATGACTATCCGTCGAACTTTCCGATGCAACGTCTGAGAGCAGCCGACTGTTCTCTGATAGTACTTCTCAGTGTCAGAGCTCGCAGAGGGCATCCAGGCTTTCGAGTACTCGAATTGGAATTACCCACCAGTCAGAAGTAACCTTTCTAACGACCTAAGGATTCACTTGAGATTGCTGATGTCTCAAGAGTTTCGACACCATCAGGCCAGATGAAATTCTCCTCCGATAGTAGGCAAAAGGAGGTTAATGAAACGGCCACTAAGGGGAAGCTAAGCAATCAGTCACATCTAAGTAATACAGAGGAATTAGAGAGACGGGCGTTTAAAACTATTCCACAAGCAGGACACAGGATTACACTAGTTGAAAATGTCGTTCCAACAGACTGCCGTTTGGTTGCTCACTGAGAGGACTCCAAACAAATCGCAGCAGAGACCCACATCCGGTCAGCAAAACACATGCCTCTCTCGAACTATTCCTGAACCCGAACCGTCAGATTTAACAAGCCCTATATGATGACAAGGACGAAGCGAACTACGGTCATTCCGTTAGTGTCAGAAACACAGAATCTAGCACTGAGGATGCTACAACTCCGGATGGTAATGCATGGAATGGAATTCAAACTACAAGGCAGCAAAGCAGCAGTGTCAGCTCTTCCTTTAGAGTCACCTCAGTCGTCAAAGAGAAGCAACACTGTGCTCAAGATGAACGGGAAACCGCGGAGAGTAAGTTCGTAAAGCAGTTGATATCGCTCTCATCCTCTTTCTCGCTTTTCTACGTAGCTTTGTAGTAGTTGAGTTGATGATTTGCCCAAAGCATGCCTTGTCGGTAGCGCAGCAACAGTCAGTCAATGGCACTGCTATAACGGCAGAATGCTCCACCACTATTAAGTCATGCGCAGTTAGATAATCACGCCAGCTGCCAGTGCTTGTGGTCTCTGGGACTGCATAGAATAAATAAATAAGTGGGTATATCTCTGTTGCGGGCGCGTCAAATATCCCCGCAAAAACGCTCCAGAAACTCCGGCCTAGTGGCTGTGGAAAACCAGGTCCAATTCCTCCCCACAACGTAGCAGTGTTCAGCCACTCCGAGGCGCGGCCCAACTGCGCACCAGTTGACAATGTTCTTTTGCAAAACTACCACCCTGTCGTGGTAGCAATTTTTCCCTAACTTAATGACCCATAGCATCGGTTGTGATTCGTCCCATGTTGGTCGGGAAAGTGCCTTCGGAGGACCATTTGCCTTTATTCCGCTTCGCGGGTAGTTGGGAGTCGGTCGGACCACGTGATTTTGTGTGCGTCGTTAGCCGGCAGTGTTCGCCTCTGTCACTAACGCGCATCTACCGTAACCGCCTCTCGTGTGCTTCCGTTCCGAAGGATCAGCGTCCAACCGAATACGTACGGCTAGGATCGTTCTTACACTCTCAATTTCCGTCTCACCCTGGGCTAAGCTAACGTCATCAGGTCGGAGCAAATCCGTTCGAGTGGCCAGCTTTCTAGGCCGTTACAGTAGGCGTGCTCCAATCGTGCCAGTGACAATCTTATCAGATGTTACGCATATCAGAGGCGTTCTCACAATCCTAACCATCTCCCAACGGCCGGTATACGTTCCCTAGTGTGCATTCCGGGATACAACAAGTATGAGTTGTGCTTTAGGTTTTCCGGCGCCTTGCTCACCGCCATGATGGAATAGGCAGGAAGGCAAATGCTGGAGTGACAAAAGCTCAAAAAATATAGCAGTCTTGAATGCCGACTAGAAAAAGGCGAAAGTATACCGATGCGCTGTATGTTCTGTTTAATAATCGAAAATTCGGAGAATAAGCTTCTATTCGTAAACACCTTTTACGGGCAGAGTGGAAACATTAACTATGCAGCCATTCAGATAAGCACCGGTTAACTTCTAAGCCGAAGATTAGTTGGCTATACATGAATTGGCATAGAAAGAGAGCAATGCCGCAAACCAAGTTCAAAGTCACCTCTGGGGGATTTATGAATACTAATTTGCTCTCAACTCAATATACATTTACTTCTACTATCATTTGTTTGTCTACTTCAGCATGGGTATTTCAGATAAAACGGAAATCGGCACAGTTAATGGAGTGTGAAACACATTCCAAAGAAAGCAGAGGGAAAGCAAATGAATGAACTCGTGGTCCATGGCAGAATGGGTATCAATTTGTGTAAGGTGAAGCCTCAGTAACAAGCCAATGGAAGCACAAAGTTTGGTCAGGATTTATGATTACTGTTTTCCGGTCAATGGTAGGGTTGTTGGCATTTTCATTTGTTTCTCCAGTGTGGATACTCGGACTTTCACGTGTACAGATGATATACTTGCAGATGAGCTGAGTTTTATACGAAACGTACTCGAGCGTAATGGGTACCCTGATAAATTCACACAGAGGCACATGGAACCGCGAGTACAAAAGCTGGAACCGATTTCCGCGGAGAAGCGGATGATATTGTTACCATTTAAGGGTGACGCGATAGCGGAACGGACCATCTGAAGACTTTCCTTAACAACAGAAAGAACGTATCTTGCCGCTAATCTCTGCGTAAACTTCACCTCAACATCAATTGTGCACCAACAACTTAAAGACAGGATACCTCGGTCGCAGACCTCCTCCTGTGGGTACAATTTCTAGTGCTCGTGTCGAGCAAGGTATATTGGGAAAACGACCAGGCGACTGTCCGTTAGGGCTCGAAAGCATTGCCCAGCTTGACTCTACAGCGGCACGAGGAAGCATGTAACGTGTGCAGTATTGACGCACCTAGTAGACTCCGATCATCAAATCGATTCGCATGACGCATTCACACCGATCTACTGTGTCCCCGGACGTTACACACGGGCAGTCAGATGTCGCCTGCTGTCGACAGCAGAGGCGATCGCAAATCGGCTCTAAAACCCGGACCTATGTGTATAGAAAATGCTCGTCCATACTCTAACCTTGCCTTGACCTCAGATCAACGCGACTAACAATGGCAGTCATGCCACTTCACTTGACCTCGCCTCAATCAGACCAAACACGTAGACTTATCGATTAGTTACTCTGCTTCAGTGACCGAATTTAAACCCACGGTGTCTATTCTAGCTTGCTTTGTTGTGGTTGTATTAGCCTGATGATGAACAAGCTTGTTGGTTACTTTCTGTTTCAGATTGACGGGGTTAAGACTGCTAACTGAGGAATATACTCCAGGATAATTCGACAAATTTAGGCTTTCCACTTTGTGCCTAACGGGAATGAATATTACAATTTCAAGCGGGAGGGTCGAACTTACCACAACTGTGCGGTTGGCGGAAGTCACCACGATTTAGATTAGGATTTAGACCATTCCTGTCAATGACAGACTCGGCCCAACCTATGCTGGGTCGTTGGCTAGTAGAATTTCTTGCGCCTTTTACGCGGCAGACTATTCGACACCATTTGAAGCGCTCTTTCTAGATCACCGCGGCTGACCGAACAACCTTCACGTGGTGCCATCTGAGTGGTTCGGGTTAATCCCGGTCCTGCAAATAGTTCGGCGGCAGTGTTCCCAGATGTGGCACGTGCCTTGCAAGCGTTCTCCCTATACAAACCCACAAATGTCTGTTTATAGAAGAGTAGTAGGAGGAGTTGTATGGTATAGGTAGAAATTCTTCACATCTAGACCTACTCAGACAGCCGCCACACGCCCGGAAAAGCACTGTACGCGCGTTTCATGCTTTCGAGAATCATCAGCAGTGCGCATTCCATCGGAACCTTCGTAGGGCTCGAACCCGCAACTCGACTGTTGCCAGTCTGTGGTTGAGACCACTGAGCTATGGGGGACGGCAACGACCATCGTGAATAAGTTACTAGATGTGATATAGTGCCGCTCACTATCCACTGACTTACACATTACTGCCGTGCAGAGTTCAGTGTAGCCCCCTCACCAAGCGACTAGCCTACCACACTTAAGCCGCCAATTAACTTATGGCATTATAAGCAGTTTGGTCTGCGTACTGATTACAGAAGAGAAATGTCTGTTTAACAACACTGACGTGGTGGATATGCATTGTCACTAATTAGTCACTGCCTTGCCATACCGGATGATGTTACACGTTTCGCGAATGTCAAGCATTTCAAAGATTTCATCTGATCCGTCCTTTATAGGCGCATTCACCGAACAAAAGCACACATTCACAGGAGTACTAACAAATTTACACAGCACGATTACTTACACATGCACCCAGTTACATACTACATATTCATACACACATACATGCAGTATGTAATGGTTGAATTGTAACATTGCTGCACCATTACTTATGTTACGCGTTTGTATTACCATGCTCGTGCCTCTGATGGCGTGCCTCGCACTGTCGAGAATAAATCGTTTATATTTTATTTATTTATTTGTGTTAACTGATAAAGTCATGGCCTCATTGGATTTATAATCGCTTTTTACCAATGTTCAGCTACCGAAAACATATGAAAATCAGTGTAATTAGGCGGAGTGCTCAGGTTTAACTCTTCCAATACCAGTCGAATTATTGAGAGACGACCTCTAAAAAAACGGTTTTCAATATCAGAACATTTCATATAGCCAGATAGATGGAGTGATGACGGGTAGTCCGTTGCGTCAAGTGCTGGTAGATTTTTTCGTGTCGATGGTTGAAACGAAGTTCAGTGGAGAGATATCGCTTCTATCCTATCATAAGCGGTATGCGGGTGATATTTTGCTGTTTAGCTCCCCAGAAGTGCAGAGCGCGTGTCTGGCCGATCACCTGAATAACCTGCATACAACTCCGAATTTTATCAGAGAGATAGAGAAAGACGATTGCCTCCCAAATCTGGACGTATTGATTTGCCGAAGAGCAGATGGGTTTATCAAATGAGCGGTTTGCCGAAAATCGACTTGATCCGGGCAGCTCCTACCCTTTATCAGCTTCGCCCCACTGCGGTACAAGCAGGCCTTAGTCAAGACGCTATTCAACCGTTCAAGCAAAATATGCATCGCCGACAGTTTAGATGATGAGATAACCACTCAA